AATAAATCACTATTGGTATCATAATATTTAGAAGACACACACACACGTGCATTAATTTAATTCTCAATTTGAAAGAAGGCTTTATGACTAAATGATTTATGATTATATTATTAATTATTCGAAGATTGGAACAGTCAATCCTAAAGTCAAATTGGATTAATTTCTATATAATATTTATCTCAACGCGCGTGATAATATTTAGACAGAAATATCCTTGATAATCACAAAATTTTGAGAATAATTTAATATATAACTACATAGATCTAATTCTCACTCAACAACGTGCATGTATATTTATGTGTAAATAATATTCTACGCAAACTATGGGCCAATAAAATTAGTCATAATAAATATAAATCCCAATATAAACTGAAATTTAAGATTATAATATCCAGAACAAAATGTTAATAAATTTAAAACTTTTTATTGGTAAATTTATGAAAATAGATAACAATTGATTGTGCAACTGAATTATCAAGTAGGTTGAAGATTCGCACGTTTAACGTATACAAATTAATATAATCGTACATATTTATGTGAATTACATGATGGTTCATTTAAATGCTCCGTACCTACAAAAGATTGACATTTCTCCTACATACAATAAAATGTCATTAGTCTATATATGTAAACTTCTGTAGAAAGAATAAAATATTATTGTATTACTAGCGCTATGTTCATTTCAATATCCCTTTGTTACAATAAATTCATTTTTTTTACGAAATTTTTTCAAAATACATGCATTTTTTAATATTATTGTCATCATTGTTGAATGAATATATGACTGTAATTGCTTTATAAGCGTATCGATGACGCTTTATGGACATAATACGAAACAGAACCAAAAAATTGTAGACGTAGTATGGAATAGAACCAAAAAGATCGACATGACGTACGTATTACCCATCAGGGGGTTGATTGTGCATCATGAGATGAAAATTATAAAAGTGAGCAAATTCACTAAGTGTTGACCAATTAAATTATGAATATTTTAATAAATTTGTTTATTTTTAATAATTTTTACCTTATTTTAAAATATATCGATCTCCTGAAATATTCATAATATAGCTATATCCAATGAGAAATGACAATGGAATAGATGTTGATTCCATTGTCAACAAACTATAGGCCAATAAAGTTAGTCATAATTCATATAAATGTCAATATGATATATCCCAATATATTATATCCAGTTAGAAATGATAATATAAATTAAAGTTTAAGATTATAATTTAATACCAATTATTGATAATGTCATCCCTGAAAACATGCATGAAAGACATCCAAAGACATCTTGAACTAAACGTCTTTAAGACTTTCCCAAAAAAACGTCTTTTAGACATTTTTCAAATATTTTCGAAAGACATCAGAAAATTATTCGTTTTGGAGTATGTGCAGCAATTTACGTTATCGACTGCAAAATTTATTTATATAACCGAGTGCATAACATGATCAATCTGAATGTAATACGTAACCTATAAAAATATTGAATGTCAATTAATTTGTCATTCTAATACTTTGTATTATATTATAATCATGGTAGAAATATTGAATTTTAAATGCATATTCACCAATAAACACGTCTACTAAACTAATAAATCATATAATTAGTACAATATTATCAGTTTTTTTACTCTTAATTACTTTAATATTAACAAGGACGTGAACTTCCGTAAGAAAATATCGGTCTTTAATATAGTATATCATGCGTTTCAATGTTATCGTCGAAAATTGATTATCAACAGAAAGTATCAAAAAAAAATTGTAATCTTGCGGCAACATATAAAATATTATAGCTCTTTACAAATACATATTTATTTATGGAACATTTATATAAAGAATCATGAATTTATTAAGCATTATTAGTCAAATATTTATGTTAATAATAGCAAATTGATATCAATTGTCGATAATGTCAGCGTTCTTCAATTACCTCCGGGCTCTCGGCTCTTTTTATATCGCCGAAAATTTATTCAGAGTTGACAGACTTTAATAGTATCTCGTCGGTACGTGTCGTCATTCCATTCCCGAGGCTCGTACAGGCAAGTAGCTGTGTCGCTCTTCGCATTTCTTTTTGAAATATAATCTCGATAATCGTCGCACTTTAGATTCCAAAAACTTACATTAAATATTTAATGAGAAATAGTTAGAAAAAGTTTTTTTAGTCCTTAAAATTTAATAACTTTTATTTACATATGTGAGATGTGAAATTAAAATTTTTTCGTTTAAAGACCCGTTAAACTAATCCTCCTATGGATAATCGGCACATTTCTGTCCTGAAGATTTAGTACCGAGACGAACCACATCTACTTTTGACGATACGATTTTATCGATAGTGTCAGAAAATGTATGTAGTCACGTAGTTCCTAAACTGAAAATGGATGTACTGGCGATAGTGTACGGGCTATTTCGACGGCAACAGAAAAAAGGCATGGCTCTCAAGGTTCTCATTGGTCGGAGATAATTGTTTATTATTTGTTGAACAGTTATTGAACTAGTATTTTCTGAATCACACAATCGTAATATATTTGTGGAGCGATATAAATATTGTAATTCGGTTTCGTTTCGATTAATAATAAATAGTATTCTATATAATTATCGTATAATTATCAAGCAATATCGACTAGCAACGCGATGTATGAAATGTGAAAAATCAGCAGAACAATCTGTGACAATGAGCAAAGAAGCACGAATCTCTCCGTACGAAATGGCGCAATATCGCGAACGGTTAAGGAACCAAAAAGAATTTCTGACTGACATACTATCCAAGATTGAAAAACAAATACTTGCTTTACAGGTTTGTCAAAATTTAAATATTAAATGTTCTCTCAATTCAAATAATTTAATTTAATTAAAAATACCTCAAATTTTATAGGTCGAACGATTACATTTGAGGAATACTCTACTTGGATCAGAATATTCAGGACAAGAAATATTACCACATGCATCAGTTAAAAATAACCGTGTGAAAATTGAGCCAGTAGTAGACGATTCAAAAAATCTAACGGAACAATTAGATTTATCTGTAGCACCATCCATAAATAATTTCGAAGAAGAAACTGAAGATGATGAATTTCTGTTAATCTAATGTCTTAAATAGATGCTAGAAATTTAATTTATTATTGTGATTACGCTATATGATACTTAAAATAATTAAATTTGTAGAGTTCACAAATTTTTTACAAGTTTATATAAAATCTTTTATAATAAAAATGATTATATTGTCTGTGCATTTATTTTTGTTACTTACATTTTATATGTATTTACAGGACATATTCTTACAAAATATTGTGTTTGGTTTTCTAGTTGGAGGATTTAAAGAAATACAGCAATAAGTAAGAAAACAACATAAAATATTATTCAAACTTAAATCTAAGACTTCCATGCTGCATATAAATTTAACATTGGCAAAAGGAGATGTTCAAGAGATATTCTGATGCAAAGCACTATCGAACACCGTTATTTGAACATTTCATTCTAATTTGAAAAAAATCTAATGAATTTGGTTGAACATTATGATGGATAGCCCTGCGGCGGTGGGCCAAGTTGTGATGGATCTTCAACCAATGCAGGTGGTTTGAATTGTTCAGCAGAGAGACGTGTGAAACAAATTCCTACACCTTCTATCAATGCCAAAAGCACTCCGCCAATGATTGCACTGCCTACCATTGCTGGTAATCCGTTTCTTGCTGCTAAAATTCCACCAGTTGCTGCACCACTAATGATAGAATTATAAGGATCTTCCTTTCCTCCTCTAAAGTGGACTAATGTGCAATCAATTGTGGAAAACATTCCGCCCCATACAGCAAAATTTCCAGCGATAATAGGTGCTCGTTGCCTAATCGCTACAACACTACCCGTAAAACGCTGCCTCCATCCACTTGGTGCATTACGGAAACCTTTAATACTTTGAAAGATTGCTCCGCCTATGACACCCATTGTAAAGGCACCTCCGCAATCGTCAACTATCCGCCAGGGACATGGTTCTCTTGCATATTCCTCCATATCTTATCTATAGCAAGCATATAAGAATAACAATTACTTAAAATAATATAGTAGATTAATATATAACTTTCGTAGAACAAGAATTATTAAACAATTATTGCAAAGATATTTTTATTTCATTGCATTCTATACTTAATAATTATTCATTATATGCTACTTAATGTTATTTAAATAATCTATATTAAAATCTCGAGATTACTTTAAAAAAGAATTAAATTTATAACATTTTGGACATTCAAAAATATATTTCAAATATTGTGTTACGCAAGAATGCACATTTACATACATCTTACTAAAAGACAATTACGAAAGTTATTACAAGAATTACGCGATAAGTGAGGTTAGAATAGAATCTCGTATAGTTTGAAAGCTAATTCACACGTAACATCTTCGAATATTCTATCACATATTAAAAGCAAATAGTTTTTTTAAGAACAAAATAATTTATCCTAGTATTTACCGTATAATTTGTTCGATAAAAATCTTTAATTGAGATGCAAAAAGCCAAACACACGACACTTCGTCCGCTAAGTATGTGAAGGAATATGAAAGGATAGATACTTCGATATTCCGACAAATAAAGGTGTCTTCACTGCATCACCGACGGTAGACAGAAGCTAGACAGCAAATTAATCAACCTTTTTCATGAGGCCATCAGAATCCCGTAAACCAGTGCACGAACGTCCATATTATGCATGGTCTACAATGGGCAGTAGCAGTAGTGGATTAAGAGTAGGCGTAGAAATCGACCAATGATTGTTAATTATCCTTCTCACATTCGATTATGATTTGTTGATTTCTACACCTACTCCTTAATCCATTACTGCTACTGCCCATTGTAGACGACACATTAAGCCCATGGTACATACAAAAATGTAAGGTAAGAGTATATCCACACAAACTTGCATAGTCGCATAAACGTATGCATAAAAAAAATTATCCAATCACATTTTACATGCATCTTTATAGAAGAAATGCAATTGGATGATTTTTTTTATGTATACGTTTATGTGACTATGCAAGTTTGTGTGGATAAACTCTAAGCATAATCAGCAAGCGAATTGCCCAATCACAGTAAATACCGTAAGAACGAGTCCAATCTTATGCGTTGTCTACAGTAGACGTAGAAATCGACCAATCATAGTTGATTATTTTTATTACATTCAACTATGATTAGTTAATTTTTACGCCTACTCCTTAATCCATTACTTCTACTGCCCATGCATTATGCATCGTCTACAATGGACAGTAGCAATAATGGATTAAAGAGTAGGCGTAGAAATCAATAAATCACAGTCGAATGAAAAGGATAATTAACTATCATTGGTCGATTTCTATGCCTACTTCTTAATCGACTGTCGCTACTGCCCATTGTAGATCATGCATTACTTACGCGTGGTCTACAATGGCAGTAGTAGTAGTGGATGAGGTTGTAGCAAATTGACCAATCGCAATTGAATGTGAGAAGAATAACTGTGATTAGTCAATTTCTTACAACCTCTTCCATTACGGATACTGCCATTATAGACTACGCATTATGTTACGTCCTTACGGACTCTACTGTGATTGGTCAATTCATTTACTGCTTATGTTTTACTACTTAAGTTTTTTGTGTGCTATGACCAGCAATGGGTGAATTTAGAACGACAATTTAGTGCGCTCAATGAGCTCTTTCATCTGATTTGCATATTCCATTAGATCCTAAAATATAGGCTAATCAGTTAAAAGAGCTCACTAAGCGCTCAGTGAACAGTTGTTGTTCTGAATGCACCCAATCACTCAACTGAACGATACAGGCTGTAAAAAATATTTTTTACACCACAGTAAAAATCGTCTCGTTGATTGGTTGCTGCTTCCGCTTTTTAACGTTTGCGTGTGAATGCACCTTAATACATATACGCAGCAGAATGCGATTTTATCGACGTCTCTCAAATCACATCCATTTTTGATGTTATTCCTTGTGTTATGATTTTATCGACAGGATTAGAAAATGTAGCTAGAGAGCCTCAGGGTGCTCTCTCATGATAGTCAAATTTTAGGAAAACGGAATCTCGAAAAAATAATAGAGTGGGGATCAACCAATCAGAATTATTGGGCTGCATTACTGTTTGTCTGTACATATACATTAAATACAAGATTATTGAAATTGTATTTGTATACGTATAAAAAGCAATTCACATTATTAATAAATAATTATTCGATAAGAATTTATTAATATATAAGTATTCATTTTTTTCCATCACATAAATATAACCATTTATTTCGTTGGGAGTGCTTGTTAACAAGATATTAATTATTAAAAATTGTCGAATATTGATCTTCAATAATTTTTTTCTCAAATACTATCAACTTTACAAAAAAAACTGCAAGAGACAAAAATTGTTAACTACTGCGAAAATTACAAAATGATAGAGGACTTTTTGGCTCAGTTTAGTCCGTTCTATCTACACATGAGCGCTTTGTCAAAACTTACCGGATACCCTGTGTGTGTGTGCGCGCGCGTGTGTGTGTGTAACCACAAATATATTCGACGAGTAACATCTGTAAGTAAAATATTTTTAATTTTATTTCACGTGTTATGTAAATTTCTAAATAGATCAAATTTAAAATGCAACATATCTATTCTCAGATTTCTCAGTCTTTGATTGATATAAGGTATGTGCGTGCTTTAATTTATATTTATGTTTTAATTAATACTCGTATATGTTTATTTTGATTTTATCGACGATCAACCATATATAAAGTCTTAATTAAATTATTCTTGATGATAAATGCAATGGAAATTAATTTGTGTGATTGTGATACATATTATTTCAAAATCAAATCCGTATAAGTATATATATGATCTGTTAGACATTAGCATAGAAATCACATATATCGGTCAAGAATTTTATAATAATAAAGTCAATGTGTCATAAAATCAAATTATACTAACATAAAATAACTATCTTGACCATTAATTGATATAAAAATTTCACGAGTAAATTAGTTTGTAAGCTCTTTTTTCCTTATAAATATAGGTACGCTATATAAATAAAAAAAACTCTAATGTGTTGCATTTTGATTCCTTAAAAAAGCTAATTAATGCCTTATATTCTGCAGCTTTTACGTAACAATATAACGATCACACAAAGACTGTCATTAAGAGATACAGATACAAAATAAGGATTTCAATTAGCTTTTTTAAGGATTCAAGGTGCAACACAGAATTTTCTTTTATGCATCAAAATTTTCTACCGCCTGAATTACAATCATTTTAATTGCTTTAATTGAATTTATGATATTATGCAGAACACTTTCTCAGAGTCATCTTTTAATGCTTTGTTCTTTAACCAATTAACTTTTTTTTAACAAAAAAACAAATGACTTCGAAAGAAATCGCATTATGTATTAAAATACAAAAAATGTATTTAATTATCATAAATTGATTTAATTATTTTTTAATATCAGATCGGAAAATTTTGTTTGTTACTTTTTCTTCATTAAATAAGAACTACTAGACAGAAAACGAAAACAAAATTTTTAATTGGCGTTATTTCTAATAATTAAAAATATTGTAACACTTTTTAAATTTGCCAGTACTTTTATTGAAATTATTGCTACACGTTATTTTAATGTTTGTGACGTATAATATAGAAGTGGATACTCTTTAAGTTGGCCTAGTTTCTAAGAGCGGGTTGTATTATGTATCATGTTGTATTATGTGCTGTTTCTTTACTATGTCCATTTATAGATAGATTACATCAGTGTATTATGACCTTATAATTAATGTATCTACAATATATTATGACGTTGTAACTGTTGCATCTCACATCATCGATTTTCCAAAGAGCAAAAAGTCTAATGAGAGTCATACGTGTCAATGAGAAACTCCATGTGTACAATCAGAAAATGTATGTACATAATGATATAAAATTCTCCAGTTTATTTATTGTAGATTTAATTTTATATCAAAAGAGGTAATTTTGAAAAATGACAAAATTACAAATTCTATTAGTATAATTTATTTATTTATAATGCGCAATTAAACATACATAATTTATTGCAATAAGTAATACTTCACAAAAGCTTTATTATTTATTAAATATTATCTGGTCATCAATAACGATTTTCAATAATAAAATCATTATTGATGAGTAAGTTATATTTAACAAATAATGATGCTTGTGGCGCAATATTATTTATTACAGAGTAAATTGTATAATTGTGTGTTGTAATGTATTATATGAGAAATCAATGCACTTTAGTCAATTTTAATTTACATCGTAATATTACACACACACACACACACACACACACAAAATATCAAATATATTAAAAATCTTTCTGTAAATAATAATGCATAAAAATTGTTTATGTTTAACTGCGCTAGCTGTTTTCCCAAGAAGAAATAAAATCATTAACATACAATACGAACAAAGATGCGATTTTCTAACGGTGCTATCTTCTAAAGATAACCCGGCACGATAAATCGATATATATGTTCCGGTCTCCCTTTTATCTTTTTTTCTATTCTTCGTTACGTTCGATTGTGTAATGGGTCTGTACATACGCGACTGTTCCGTAACTGCATACATGCACCGCACCCTGGGTCGAGGATTCATGTCCGGTGCATCTGTTGCATCCCGCACGCAGGTGAGCGCGCGCGCACGCTCCGGCGGGTGCGAGAGAACGGGTTCCAAGCGCGGGGGCGACCGGTGATGGTGGTGCTGCTGGTGCTGGTGGTGGTGGTGGCGATGGTGACGGTGGTGGTGGCGGCGGCGGCGGCGGCGGCCGCGGCGGCCGCTCTCGGAAGAGGTGGCCGCGCCGTGAAGACGCGCGGGGGTTGGAAAAACGACAGGGAAAGCTCGTAGCGGGCTACCGGTTACTACGCGGACGCATGCCCGCTGATAGCTCAGTGAAGCGCGCGACTTCGTGCCGTAAGCACATTTCTTACGAGTGGATCTCTTTCTTTTCTCTCTCTGTCTCTTTCTCTACGTTATCTCTCTTGCTCTCCCCCTCCCCCTCACACACACACACACACGCGCGCGCGCGCGCACACACACACACACACACACACAAACACACACACAACATATACACATACTATATCTTCCTTTCTCTTTCACTCTCTCTATCTCGTCAAATGTGTAAGTGTAGGTACGCGTGTGCGCGTTTCTTTCTCGCCTCGCCTCGCCTTGCTTCGCTTCACCTCTCCTCTGTTGTCTATCTCAGCTTTGCTCGTCGCCGCGAGGACGGCAAGCACGTCCGCCGGCAAATAAAATCCGTGTTGGGTGATACAGCGATAGGGGTGGTGATAATCGCAGATGAAAGGGAGTAAGAGGAAATGTCGAGCATCCTGAGGGACTTTTCGTGCGTTTTCATAATGCGAATCATATCTAGGGACGAAGTACACAAATCAAAATTAAAAACGAGAGATTGCGAGGGGTAGTGAGTAAAATTTCTTGAGTGGGAGCAATATTTGGAAGAGACGCGTGAAAAAATAGGGTGAAAAGAAAAGTGATATTTGAAAGAAGATCAAAAGGAGAGAGAGGGAGAAAGAAGAAGGAGA